AGAGAGAGAGAGAGAGAGAGAGAGAGAGAGAGAGAGAGAGAGAGAGAAACAAACACACAAATAAATTTAGAGGGACATTAGTCTGTTAATGATTATTTCTAGTTGATGGATTTGCAGGTAATTAACGTTTTTAAGAAAATTGGGATTTTCTAATTTTCCTACACTGAACTTGTATCAGACGTAGCATACTGTAAAAGTTTTAAATTAATAAGGGCTACATTACCTAAAAAGTAATGTACTCTATATATAAGAAAGTAGAATAAGAATTGGAAGGAATTTTAGATAATATCTAGCCAATTTCCTCACATTTTCATGGTACACTAGTATTGATTTAAATCACCTCCCTTTTTTGTTTTAGAGACAGAGTCTCATGTTGCTTAGGCTAGAGTGCAGTGGCACGATCTTGGCTTACTGCAACATCTGCCTCTAGGTTCAAGCGATTCTCATGCCTCAGCTTCCAGAGTAGCTGGGATTACTGGCTTGCACCACTATGTACAGCTAACTTTTTATATTTTTAGTAGAGACGGGATTTCACTATGTTGGCCAGGCTAATCTCGAACTCCTGGCCTCAAGTGATCCTCCCACCTCAGCCTCCTAAAATGCTGGGATTACAGGATTGAGACACCATGCCTGGCCTTAAATCACTTTTATTACAATTTCATATAAATGTATAGTACTATGTGGTTACAATTCCAAATTAACATAAACTAATCTGGGAACTGAAATCAAGTTTTAGATTATCACTAAAATTACAACCCAAAATTTTAAAATTTATTAGTATACTCTGGTCCCCTGAGAATGCACCCAAAGTCTCATTGGTTTCCTAATTCAAGAAACATGGACCTAGTAGAGACCATCGAAATGAATCCCATCTTCCCTCCCATTGCCTCAATCACTCCAGATGTCCAGTCCTCTCCTCTGACCCATTATTCCTGAAACTCTGAATTTCCTAGTTCTCTACACATCCTTTAATTTGGCCCAATAATCCTCTCCTGTCCCCTTTCCTCTAAAATCCTTCTACTCTATGACTCCAAGTCCATGGCTGGCAAACTCCCTGATATCTCAACCTTTTCAGAATATTCTCTCTACCTGTTGGCCTTAACTAAAATACGACTTTCCCTGAACCCCATCCTCCGGAGCCTTGTTCAACGAGGCTATTTATTCTCACTACCCTACATATTTTAAGGTCCACCTTGCTCCCCAGTGCCACCTGTAAACAACTACTTTACCTCCCTCCTCTTGCAAAAACCTCAGAGGCTTGTATCAGTTTACCACCATGGTTGTTGTCATCTCTTTTGGCTCACAATCTCCCTTACTTCGCAGCTACTGTCATGAATCTTCCTCACACCCACATAGATCCTGGCAATGCACCTGACATCCCGACCTCTCAGTGCATGCCTCCTAATGGAGGCCTTTTCCCTCACTCTACTTCTGCCACGGTCACTTCCAAGGTTACATCTTGAAGCGTTCCAGTTTCACTGGCAACTGCACTGCTTCCAAACTCGCACATACACACAGCACATCCTCTAACCGCTTCTTCAGGCATCCTCATTGTAGTAACTCTTTGGTCTTCACGAAAGGTCTCAAATGTCCATTGACACCCCCTCTGCTAACAGTCGCTCCTACGTCAGCTTCTTCTACCTTCGCTTCTCTCCTTTTCCATCTCAGAGTCCATAGTTTATCATTACAATCATCTCTGGTAAATATCATCCATGCCCTGGGCTCCCTCACTTTGCATTGCACTTGCACCCAGCCAGCAAAGCCACCCCAGGTAATCACCTTCCTCTTCTATGCCTGCACCCATGCAAGTGAGTGATGGTGGAGAAAAACCATGTACACTGGACAGATTAGTATCATATTAATACCCATCATCAAAATGGCAGTCAACAATGACTGACAATCCTATTACATTTCTCTAGTATGATCTTTCTCCCATTTGTCACAGTACCTGTTTCATACATTTTTCTTGAGCATCTTAGACTACTCAACACTCTTCACTTGAATTACTTCTCTTTCCTTCCTTCTCACCCTTCATGCTTTAGTCACCACCCTCTTCAGGAGGCTTTCTTATTCTCCCAACTTTTTGGGTGAGTTAAGTGCCCTCTCTGTTTTCCTCCACAGCATTTGTCTCAAGGTGTTGTCATTGTTGGTATACAAGTCCTCATGCACAGGTTCCTTCCCGGTAGAGAATGTCTTTCATTCCTGTTTCCACAGTGTCTAGCAGAATGGTTAGCATATTAAAAGATGTTTGATCAATGTCAACCAAATGGATGAACAGATGGTTGGAAGGAGAAAGAGAAGGCACCAGGGCAGTTGGCTTCTTTGGTAAAGGGTAACTAATTGAACAATAGAAGCATTAATTACTTCATCTTCCAAAATAATGTTCTTCATGAAGCAGAATCAGATATTTTTTTTCTTTTTTGAAACAAGGTCTCCCTCTGTTGCCCAGGCTAGAGTGCAGTGGCACAATCACAGTGGCTCACTGCAGCCTTGACCTCCTGGACTCAAATGATCCTCTCGCCTCAGCCTTCCAAGTAGCTGGGACTAGAGGTGAGCACCACCACACCTGGCTCATTTTTGTATTTTTTTGGTAGAGACTGGGTTTCACCATGTTGCCCAGGTTGGTCTCGAACTCCTCAACTCAAGCAATCCACCTGCCTCAGCTTCCTAAAGACCTGGAATTACAAGCATGAGCTACCACACTCAGCATACTTTTTAAAGAACAATACCCTCGAAAGCTTTAGATATCTTAAGGGAGTTCCCAACTCATCAGAAACAAAATTACTTTTGTTACTAAAAACAAAAAACAGCTTGTATATGCCCTATACAGCCATCAAGAAAAAGGGCTGGTTTCACAAGTAGCAAACAGAACAAAACAAGACAGTATCATGACTACAAAGGAGTCAAGAATAACTGTTACAGAGATTTTGTATGTGAGCATTTGTATGCTGGAATTGGTAATCAGTACCATTAGTATAAGCCATTCTGTCTAATATTCTGTGTATACAGAATGTTTTTGTAATAGAAATTTATTTTCTATTACCGTAAGACTAGTACTAGTTATTTACTCATTTATTTAAATTCATGTATGTACCTACATGGCAGTAGGAGACTGCTAAGTCCTATGCCTAATATGAAAATCACAAGCATCATAATAGTAAACTCATGAAATAATATACAGCCAGGTGTGGTGGCTCGTGCCTGTAATCCCAGCACTCTGGGAGGCCGAGATGGGCAGATTGCTTGAGTCCAGGAGTTCAAGACCAGCCTGGGCAATATAGTGCACTCCAACTCTACTAAAAATACAAAAAAATTAGCCAGACATGGTGGCACACGCCTGTAATCCTAGCTATTTGACAAGGTAAAATCACCTGAGCCAGGGAAGTTGAGGCTGCAGTGAGCTGAGATTGTGCCACTGCACTCCAGCCTGGGCAACCAGACTGAGAGCCTGTCTCAAAAAAAAAAAAAAAAAAAAAAAAAAAAGAAAAAACATGCTTATATACTTTATACTTATATAGTTGGGTTAAAATTTTAAAATATAAATGATCCCTATGATAATTTAATTTAAAAAATTAAGTTTGAATTTTAAGAAGTGGGCCAATATGAAAACTCTGGAAAATAAAGAAATTAAAAACAAAATAAAAACATTAAGTGATTAAAATTTTACTATCCATATTTCTAATTTTTATTAGAATATTTTATTTACATATTTGTATAATTGGGATTATATTATGTATGACATTTGTGTCCTGATTTTTAAATTCAGATTATACTCTTACATCACTAAAAATTTTTTTCATGGTTGTATAGGTATTTCTCCTAATAAATGTAATCTCAATGTTGTATATAAAACCCCCCCAATGGAGGGTGTCCATTTGTGCAGGGAGGGCCTTCTGGGACTCATCTGAAGACAAGACAGGTGTTCAGACTGCCTGGGCACTGACAACGCCCAGTGAACATGTAGCCTTGCTGATGCAGAGTTTAGTTTCTGAAAGCTTCATATTTGTCAATGCCCTTATGTGGAAGCATGGAGCACAGAAACTGAACCCCACACAGAAATGAGCTATAGCACTGCATGAATTTGAACCCCACTGTAGGAGTTTGAACCCTACACAGAAATGAGCTATAGCACTGTATGAATTTCAGAATCCTGTAGCTGGCAAGCCTTGACCTTCTTGTGTCACCAGCCATTTTGCCTTCCTGGCAGGAACTTTGTGGGCCAAAGTTACAGGAAGACATGATGGATATGTTCCTGATCTGTATGCTCATTTCCAAACCTTTTGCGTATGCCTGGCTAAGTAAAACAGAAACTGACAGCAAGTGGGGAGGGGTCTCTTCCTACCAGTCAGTGGTCCAATGGAACTGCTGCCGTCTTTTCCCCACATTTTTCAAAATAATGAATAATTCTTTGACAAACATCCTTGACACAGTTCAATTATTTCTTTAATGAGATTTCTAAAAGTAAAGTAACAATCTGAAATATAAAATTGTTAAGATAGCGACTTAAAGACTGACTTGGATATTTAAATGAATCCTAGCTTTTATACTCAATTGTGGTAGAAGACCTGAATATTTTCAAATCATGAAAAAAATAGTTTAAATACATTTTTCTAAAATTTTGTTTACTATTATAGTTTTTCCTAGATTAATAATAAGCACTTTCCAATTCACGCTAAACCAGATTGGTCATCTGGTTAAAGTGTTGAAGTATCTACATAGTAATCAAAGTATTAAAAGATATTTTACCACTGGTTGTTAAATCATCACAATTGAAAACAAGAAAGCATTACCGCATTTTTACTGCCAATGAAGAAAACAGATTTTTCTCCAATTTCTACTCCATCACCTTCATTTCCATTAATTCCTCTTTTTTCCACTTCAGCTTTTGCAATTTCCCAGAGAGTTTCACTACATGAGAAGCAGAAAATAAAAATTCAGAGAAAAAGAATTTTCAAATATTTATTTCAAGCTCAGAGATAATTTATTTCAGTAAAATTTATGACATAAATGAACATTATTTTCTGAGGAACAACAATTTGGTAAAACATCTGAGGATGAGTCATTCTACGATTTTGTTTTTCTTTTGTTACTTTCAACTAGTTCTTTGAAGAATACTGAAATTGATAAGCAGAGCCTTTATCACCAGGATCTGCGGTTGTCTTATTTGGGGCTTCCCCTAAGGTTCATAGCTGGGTATGTTGGCTTCTCAGACACACTTGAAGGTACAATGACTTTTGGGAATGTACATCTTGAAAACCACAAACATTTAGGTCACCTAGGAAGACGGGGAAAGTACAAAATCGGTGTATCAAATAATCTTTGCTCTCTGAAAAGTTTCTTCTTTGTTTCTTAAATGTTTTAGCTAAAAACTTTTTTTAAATATAAAAGTATATGGGAGGCTGAGGCAGGAAGATCACCTGATATCAGCTTAAGCAATATAGGGAGACCCAATCTCTACAAATAATAATAATTTAAAAATTAACTGAGGCTGGACGCGGTGACTCACGCCTGTAATCCCAGAGGGATTACAGGATCAAGTGATCCACCCACCTTTGGGAGGCCAAGGTGGGTGGATCACTTGAGGTCAGAAGTTCGAGACCAGCCTGGCCAACATGGTGAAACCCCATCTCTACTAAAAAATTAGCCAGGCGTGGTGGCACACACCTGTAACTCCAGCTACCCAGGAGGCTGAGGCATGAGAATCACTTGAACCCGGGACGAGGTTGCAGTGAGCCAAGATTGTGCCACTGCACTACTGCCTGGGTAACAGAGCGAGACTCTGTCGAAAGAAAAGAAGGAAAGAAGTTAGTTGGGTGTGGTGACATTGTAGTTCCAACTACTAGGGAGGCTTAGGCAGGAGGATCGTCTGAACCCCGGAGGTCGAGGCTGCAGTGAGCATGATAACATTACTGCACTCCAGCCTGGGTGACACAGTAAGGCCTTGTCTCAAAACAAACAAAAGGTATAAAGAAAGGAAAAAAAAAAACGCTAAAATCACGGACATTTTGAAAACCATCCTTTCCTTCATTTCTTTACATACATAATTTTACACAATAAAATCATATATATATATATAAATTAAAGCCTAAGTGAAAATGCAATATTGAACTCAAAACTACGGGCAAGACCTGATAGGTCCTAGCCTGATTCTGCTACTTTCTATGGATGTGAAGTCGGGCAAATTACCTAACCTCTTTAAATCCTTCATCCCTTTATTAATTAAACAAATATTTATTGAGCATCTAATATATGCAATCCTCTGTGCTATTGCCCAGGCTGAATTGTTTCTCTATCGCTAAAATGCCAATAAAAAAGAAAACCAGCTTTATAGGATTGTCATAATTTTTAAAATAGGTATTTAGTTTAGGGAATGGCCTATACAATTACACAAATTATTGAGGGCTTATAATTGTTACTATTCAAGAACCAAGAATAAAGAAAAAGGGCCAAAACAGGAGTCCTTAAATGTCTGCACTAAAATTGATGCATTTATTTCACAGGTGAGCCTTCAGAACTCAGTTTAGGCCTGTTTGCTCCTCATTTATACATTCTTTCAGAATGTGAGGATCTGCTTTCCAAATACCCAGCAGAGAGGAGAGATGGAGGTGCTGGAGTCAGGCATGTCACCTAACTATAACCATACCTTTATAACTGGCAATTTTCCACACTAGCCCAAGGGGAGAAAAAGATTTATCCTGCTCTGTGAGGCACTCACTCCCTGACCCCTCTCCCCGACATGCTTATAAACTGTCGAGAGAGGGTTTAGGACTATCCTGAGAACAGGTAATTGAAATGACCATCATAGAATTGAAGAGCTAGAAAATAGTTTACAAACCCTCTCCCGTTTCCCCCGGTAAGTGTGAGGCTGTACTTTCCATAGTGCCTTTCAAGCTTCCCCTCACTTGCTACTGCGAATCTCGCATCAGGAGGCGAGGCCCCTGGGCAGAGAAGGCTCTGTGGTCTAGCTCATCGCTGAATGCCCTTCTCTGGGGGCAGTCTCTGGCCCGCAAGAAACTTTTATTCAATCACTGAAGGGTGCAGTTGCTGATCTTTCCAAATCTCTTACTTTTCTACCTAGGGTACTTTCATTCCTGTTTGCGGTAGAATCTTTATGCTCGAGGCTGATACCTGGGTCCGAGACCATGCAGACCCGAGTGCATGCAGACCACCCCCACAATCTTCTACCAGGGGCCCTGCCTGGGTTTCCGCTCCCCAGGAATAGTCTCAGCAGCTTCTCCCTCGCAGGGAATACCTGGGCATCGTGGCCCGGCTGCCGCAAACGTCGCGGGCTCGGAGTAGGGCCCAACCTGGAAGCAGGCGGAGAGTTCTGCAAGGAGTCTGGGAGTGAGGTCTTCTGGGTTGCCATGGGAGCGACGTTGCGGCCGCAGTTACGTGAGGAGAGGAGCGTCATGGGAAATGTAGTTCTCCGGAGTCCTTTTACATCTCGCACGCAGCGTCAAGCCTTAGGACTGCTTTTAGATCCCAAGTGTGTAAACCTTTCTTACATCCTAGAACGAGGTGATAAGGGGTTCCAAACCTGGGATCTAAAAGCAATTGTTTCTGGGCTGGAAGTGTTCTTTTATTTAAAAAAATTTTTTACTGTCAACTATACGTCAGGGGTCTCTGCTCCCTCTCGTCTTTTACTTTTTTCTTCCCAATCCCCATGATTTAGGAATAGAGGGTAACAATCTCTTGAGCTGTTTTCCAGTAATTTACTAGAAGCAAAGAATCTCCAGACTTTAAAATTTAAAATAAGGCATGTAATTTTAATATTTTCCAATTTTCCTGATGTTTAGTTGTTTCAATTTTTATTCAATAGCACATGATGTATTTATTAATAAATTAGTGAAGCAAGTGCATCTCCTACATACTTCATTTACCTTATGAATGTAGATTATTTTGTTTTGGAACTTTGTGATCTCTTTATAGATCTTCAGAAGTGTCCAAATAAATAACAAACATTGAATAATTACTATATGCAAGGCCCTATGCTACATAGAATAAGGAATAAGGAGATAAGAAAAGATCGCTACGCTTAAGAAAGACATACTCAGCTAATTATAAGCACCTAAGGAAGTTAGTGATCTAAGCTATTGTATAGAGGTACAAAAATTACATGAGGGCAAGTGACTAATTATGCCTGAAGGAGATGATGAAACATTCATGGCACTGATAGTATTTGGTCTGTGTTGAATGCTGAGTAGACCCAGGCTTTCTAGCCTAACACTCCCTCCCTCCAATCCTCTGCTATTCAGCTTGATTTCTGTGGTGTGATGTTCAAGGACGTGGGCTTTGGAGTGAGATGGACCTAGGCTCAAGTCCTGACTCAGCCACGCTGGCTAAGTTGCCACATTGCCACATTGCCACATTGGGTAATTCACTGAATTTCTCTGAGCCTTAGTTTCTGATCCTGTAAAGCAGGAAAGATTGTGAATCTTAAATGAGATAAACATAGGTAAAACATAACTTATGTGTGTGTGTCACACATTATAACTGCTTAATGCTTGTTATTATTGTGTGATAAGCTGCTGGTCAGAAACTTTGAACAAAGAAACACGAGGAACACATTTCTGTAAATTAGGCTGATAGTTGATAAAAGGGTGTTTATTTCAGATAAAGTCATTGGGAACAAAATCCTCCCAACATCTAGGTGTATTTTGGAGACACAAGGAACACTAAGTTGCACATAGGAAGGGAATTAATGGGAGTAGAGCTCAGCGAAGAAAGGATGATTTTTAAAGGAGGCTTATACATATGTCATTAAATCAGCAGCTATAGCCTGGTGCTAAGCCAGCCTATAAGCTCACAAACTGATATGGGACAGATCGTAATGAATTGTATGTAATGATTTGGGTTCTAGAACTTCAGAATACTTTTGCATGCTAGTTAGGAAGGCCTGTTGATATTGATAGCAATAATGACAGCTAACATTTTTGCCAAGTGCTTGCTATGTACTGGGCACAGTACTAGTACTTCAAAAGTACACTTGTTTGAATAACTGGGAGAGGTGTTTGAAGGAGGGAGCTTGGTAACAAGGAAGATGAAGGCAGACCTGGCTGGGCCCTGATCAGCAGAATTGATTCAGGATTGATTCAGTTAATCTGAGCAGGTGAGTTCCCCTTTCTTCCCTAATTCCTCTTCAGGCCTTCAGGCTTTCATACTCGGGCAAAGAAAGTGACCCTCCTGGGTAGATGAAGATTGTTATTAAGGTAAGAATGGAAGCAGAAGGAGACAATTTCATGCTGCTTTCTGAATGGAATGAGCAACAGTGCAGAAGGGTAAAGGCGAGTGCAGGGTGTATTTGGGAAACTGAATAGTTTGGGATGGGATCATTTAAAGTGCCTGGTGGAGCTACAGTGGAAGAGCAAACTGGGCAGGTAGATGGGGCTGCTGTGAAGGATGCTGTCGTCTAGACTTTACTGTGTTGGTTATGAGAAACCAAATAGGGTTTAAAAATAGGAGTGTGCCACGATTAGGCATGAGTTTCAGTGAGATAATTTTTTGCAGCTGCATGAAGGATGTTTTGGCATCTAGAAGACCATGTGGAGGCTATTAACAATATCCAGGTAAGTGACAGGCAGAGTTTTAAAATATTTTCCCTTGTTTTCAAAGTTATATAAGCTAATTGTAGAAAAAAAAGGTATACACAGAAAATTAAGAGAATAAAATAAGCATAATCCAGAAGTAATAACTGTTAGGTATTTTGGAAACACATTTGATGTGTTTCATTCTAGCGTTTTTTCTTACATAGTTGAGATTAATGTAAAGTTAATTAATATCCTGATTTTAACATGTATTTCCCCGTTCAAATTTTAAAAATGAATCATAAACATAACTTTGATGGTTACAGAATATTTCACTATATAGATTTTTCATAACTTATTTAAGCATTCTCCTTTTTTTTTTTTTTTGAGACAGAGTTTTTGCTCTCGTTGCCCAGGCTGGACTGCAATGGCATGATCTCGGCTCACTGCGACCTCCCCCTCCCGGGTTCAAGTGATTCTCCTGCCTCAGCCTGCCGAGTAGCTTGCATTACAGGCATTCTCCACCACACCCAGCTAATTTTTGTATTTTTAGTAGACATGAGGTTTCTCCATGTTGATCAGGCTGGTCTTCAACTCCTGTTCCTCAGGTGATCCATCTGCCTTGGCCTCCCAAAGTGCTGGGATTGCAGGCGTGAGCCACTGCGCCTGGTCCCAGCATTCTCCTAATGTTGAGTATGTTTGGGGTGGTTCAGAATAAACACCTAACATGAGCTGGGTTAATCACAGTCCTTCCTTCCCTGAAATTTTTCAAACTAGAATTGGGGAAAGCGAGTCACTCCCATTCTAGAGGAAATTAGCATATTTTATGCTAAATGAATTATTTTGTAGCTATCGAGCACAGAGCAGACACACATCAATATGAAGAGAACGTCCTGGCTCATGTCTCATGGTTCTAGTTGTCCTAAGGCTTGCCTGTGTCCTCATCTTTTTTATGGATTGGTGGTTCAGCTTGCTCTTTGATTATATGAGATATTCTAATATTCTTGTAATATAATTTCTCATTTTTGTCTAAGCTAGTTCAAGTTGAATTTTGGAATTTACAGCAGAAAGAGTTCTATCTAATACAATTACTAGTTAGTAGAGAGTGAGGCCTTGGGAAAAGGGAGAAAAGTTAATGTTTCTTTCTTGAGTGATCGATGAACTGGTGATCCTATTAACTAATTTGGAGGGACACAGAGCAGGAGATGCATGTTTACAGGACGTGGTGAATTTGAAATATCATCCGGCAGACCGTTGGACCATTTGGGGTCTGCTGGACTTGGCTGTTAGATGGTCAATGGTAACCTCATGTGAAGGCATTTCGGTAGAATAGTCAGAACATAAAAGCTGTGTTGACGATATCCCATCCCTGAGGGGAACATCTTATAATCTGTGCATTATCCAAAAGCTAACAACTCTCCACAAGCTTTTCTAAGGTCACACACTTTCTGTAAACTTTTCTCTCATAAAAGGCAACTCTTATGGGAGTTTGATAGCATTTTCCAGAAACTCAAGAAGTTAATTACATTTAAGTCATTTCCTCTGGCATTACACAATATTCAGTTCCAAGGAACTCCTGGGAATTCATTAGAGCCACATAATGAGAGAGGTAACTGGCCTTCTCTAGCCACTGCCACTGCTAAAGAAGAGTCATTTGATTTTCATAAAACCACAATATAACCTGGCAGCACTTCAGAAAGTGCCTTTCGTTTCTCACCCCAACTCTGTTTATTAGAAAATTACGTTGGCAAGTTGGGTGCAGTGGCTCACGCCTGTAATCCCAGCACTTTGGGAGACTGAGGCAGGCAGATTGTCTGAGGTTAGGAGTTTGAGACCAGCCAGACCAACATGGTAAAACCCTGTCTCTACTAAAAATACAAAATTTAGCCAGGCATGGTGGTAGGCGCCCTTAATCTCAGCTACTTGGGAGGCTGAGGCAGGAGAATTGCTTCAACCCAGCAGGCAGGGGTTGCAGTGAGCTGAGATCCTACCATGGCACTCCAGTAGGCAACAAGAGCGAAACTGTCTCAAAAAAAAAAAAACAATAAATAAAAATAAAAATAAAATTGTGTTGGCAAAGCACAGGAAGGAAGGGTACTTGGTATTCAAGTGCTGTGGTGAACATTTGTGTCCTATTTTGGAGTTATTTGCTAATAGACCCTTCCCCAGTAAAGTTGGTATTCCTTGCCTATCACTGGACTGCAAAATAATGTAAAGGATACAATGAACTTTTTTGGAATGAAGCAAATTATAATCCAGAGTCACTGTGACTATGTACAATTTAGGTCAAATTAAATCCAACAAATAAAATCACAATATAAAGCAAATGCTTAATCATCTTCTCACCCCAGCCTCTGCCCAGACCCACCAACTCTTCCTTGTAGAACTGATCTTCCCACTTAAATGCCTAATAATTGTCATAAAGATACTGAAAAACAACAACAACAACAAAAACCGCCCAAGAAAAGCCTACATGTTGGTCCCACTGAAGTACAGATAAATCATGCTTCAACCTAAATATCTACATGTGGACTTACCTTAATTTGGAGTTTAAAGGAGAAGAAGTTCCTTCTGTTTCAGTTAAACTCCTTTCTTCTTTCAGGGAAAAGAGAATTGGGGGGAAATGTGAGAGGAGATGTCATTTTTGCATAAATTAGGTGGGCAGCAGGGAAACTACTCTGTCCACTCCTTCCTGCTCCTCACTTCCCTTCCTCAATTTTCAAATTACTGGAGCCGCCCCTCCATAGAAATCAGCCCAGAGCCCATTAGCATTGAGGAAGGCCAAATTCCATGGCAGCTGGTAGGGGGTGAGTGGGTGGGGGAAATA